GATATGTGCAGCATGGCAGATTTCATAGCCTAAAGACAAGTTTCTTATTCCACACTTGATTCCAAGCCAATAAAGCCAATTTACCATCTCAATTTATTTTCATTTGTCATGTGAAAATACAGCAATGCAGTTTAATTGCTCAGGTCTGAACACATATCATATCCTGTTCCTGACTGAGATGCCTACAGTGAGGCTGATCACAAAGACACTGACTGCTGATGTACACAGCACATATGTTTATAGTAACTTCATATGTAGACGTGTTAGCATTTAAAATTAACCTGTCTTAAGGCAATGTCACTCTTGCAATCTTGTCACTGGTGAGAACTTGCCATTGAAGGGATCACTTTGGAGGACACAGCAGGGAGTTGAAACACTCACCTGCTTGCAAGTGCCACTCCCTTGCCAGGTGGATAAGTGAGGGATCTGACTCCCACCAGCAACTAACATTTTGCAGCATTTTGGACAGTGAGGAAGTAACACCTTGCTCACAAGGTTGGGGAGGAAAGGACACATTAAAACATAGCTAAGCCTGCTTCCTGCATATTCTAGTAATCCTTTTGCTGGCAAGTTCTTTATACCTCCCAACTGGAACCAAATCCTTCTGTTTCTCCTTCCCCCTTAGTTGTCCCTCTTTTTTGTCTGATGTAAAGACATCTATGAAAAGGTTTTATTTAACTACCAAACGGGTTATTCTGCACTAAAACCGTCATCCCATCTTATAATTATCTTGTTATTTCACAAATTCAGTATAAAGGAAAAAGTAAATGTGAAAAAAATAACAATTCTGGGTTTACCCAATCATTTTTGGCATATAAATTCTTAAGGGTCGGTGTGGCAGGTGTCTGTCCATTGTATAAATACATTGTGCTGGAATGTTGGGAGGAATGAGTTCTTGTCAGCATTAGGATCACAAGTAAGACATGGGCATTATGAATTGTAATTCTGCAACATGTTCTCTGTGCAATGACGATAATGGCACAATGACAAAACCAGCCATACCTCAAATGAACTTGTGGCACAACATGAATATTTTTAGAACAGTTGCCTGTAAATCTCCCAGGTCCATCAGCAGACCTTAGGAGAACGTCAACAAATTAAATACAGGTGAAACTCGAATAATTAGAATATCGTGCAAAGTTCATTTATTTCACTAATGCAACTTAAAAGGTGAAACTAATATATGAGATAGACTCATTAGATGCATAGCAAGATAATTCAAGCCGTGATTTGTCATCATTGTGATGAGTATGGCTTACAGCTCATGAAAACCCCAAGAACCCCAAATCCACAACCTCAAAAAAGTAGATTATTACATGCAATCAATAAAACAAGGATTGTACATAGAACAATATCGGACCTCTGAAAAGTACAAGCATGCATATGTACTCAGTACTTGGTTTGGGCCCCTTTTGCAGAACTTACTGCAATTACTTTTGCACGATATTCTAATTATTCAAGTTTCACCTGTACATGGGTTTGGGAAACAATAGGCATGTGCGATTCGTTTTATTCCGAATCAAAATTCGTACGAATTTACCAAAATTCGGACACATCAAAATTTCCGAATCCCAATGCATCCAAATGTGTCCGAATCCGAATTTCCGTTTCCGAATATTGTATCCCGTACGAATTTCATTCAAAAACAAAACTGAATCGGACATGTGACTTTACTTGCCAATCAGATGCGTTTTTTCGGTTTAAAGCATCCGAATAGGTCTGAATACAAATTTTCGTTACGGCAACATGGGAGCCATATATACATATAATACTAAAGTTGAGGCTCCTAGAATGCCATTTGGGTCTGGGAGCCTCAGCTTTAGTATTAACCACTTGCTGACCGGGGTGTTAAACCCCCTTCCTGCTCAGGCCATTTTTCAGTATTCAGCTCTGCGGTACTTTGACTGACATTTATTCTGTCATACAACAAAATTAATTTTATACCATTTTTTAGGGACAGATAGAGCTTTCTTTTGGTGGTATTTAATCACCACTGAGGTTTTAATTTATTACTGAAAAATTACTTTATTTTGAAAAAAATTGATTTATGGGCTTAGAATTATTGCTCTCATTGCTCTGCGACGTTCGTGGCGATATGTAACATGTGCAGCATAATCGTTGCTTTTGCACATAGGCGCGCCCGGCGCGTATTTATGTATATAAGTGCGTGTGCGCGGGGGACTTAAAACTTTTTGGGTGTTTTTTTTTTAAACTTTAAGTACTTTTTTTAAACTTTTTTTTACACTTAACTTGATTGCTATCACATAGGGGGCTACAAATCCCCCAATGTGATAGCTAGAAAAAAATTACAGGTCCTCTTAATGTTAATGGAGACATCAGGGGCCCCCATGACCCCTGTCACCTAGGGACCCCCAAAGAAGCTGATGAAGCAGAGATTTGCTTCATCAGCTTCTTCTCTGGCTCCCAGCTAAAGGCGGAAGTGATGTAATACACATCGCTTCCAACTTTAGAGAGAGAGAGAAGGGGGAGAGATCAGTGGTACTCTTCGAGCAGCCGCTGTGCCAGTCCTCTCGGTCCTGGGCACCGCAGGGGGGGACAGCGGTGCCCAGGATGACCAGCAGCGGTGAAGGAGGCGGGCGCAGCAGCGAAGGGGGGGCGCACCATACAAGGTCATACAAACGCTTGTATGAGACAGACGATAACAGCTGTTATCCTTCTGGGGGGTGCGCACGAGCAGAAAAAAAAAGACATACATTTACGTGACCCCGCGGGGAAAGATCCACCGTCCGCACGTAATTTTACGATGGGCGGACGGCAAGGGGTTAATATCTGTATATGGCTTTCTGTGGTAGTTGTAAGAAATATTCATTCGTAAACTTATCCGAAACTAACAAAAATTTGTATTTCGTCTCAATCCGAAACCCCAAACCGAATGGAATTTCGGTCTCGAATCCCGAAATAACGAAATATCCGAACCAAACTGAATTTTTCCACAGCTTACATGTCTAGGAAACATCATCTAACATTTGTTTTATCTCTGTTTATAATTCACACAAAGAGATACCCATTGCCCTTTCAACTTTGCAAAATAGTAACGACAGGTTTTTTACTGAACGAGCAGAACCTTCCTTCTTAATCTGTGATTTGCTATTTTGAGAAAATTCACAGCTCAATTAACTTTTAGTACTTTGGAATTAGCACTCCTATGGAATATTCAGTATAAGGATTAGTAATCAAGTGTAAGTTAGTGAATGAATCAAATAACACCAAATAACACACTGTATATGTTCACAAAAATATGTGATCTTCACGATACAAAAGTATTTGCAACTGCTGTTCTTGAAAATAGTTAGCAACAGGAAATATCATCTTTAAAGCATATCTAAATCCAAGAACAATAAATGAAATATGTTGCAGCTTACAGTCCTTAGATGTGGTGGCTGTATAAGTTCTTTTTTCTTATTAGGCTTTTTTTTCCTTTCTTTTCACCTGTTGATTCTACCAGTAACACTTCCTGTCCAACTCCACCTCTCCTCTTCATCATAAGACAGTTCACAGAGAAAGCTCGGAACAATGCTAACTGGTAACTGTGGGGAGAAGTAGAGCTCAAAAGAAGGTATCCGCTCGTTAGATTTCTGGGAGGATCAACAGGTATTTTTTTGGTACTTATATCAATTTAACAGAACAAAAGGAAGTAAATAGGAGACGTTCACTGTTAGGGTTTACAAATTTTGCACATGGCTTGCATAGGATTACTGCTTTGACATATTGTTAAATCTGTGGGAAGGAACTGTACATGCAGCATTAATGTTTGACTCCCTTCAGAGTCCAGTTCTAATAAACAGTAAGAGATATAAGTCTGGGCCTTAGTACCACTTGCGTTGTCTAGTCCCTGTAGAATTCTTCCACCAGTCAGATGACCTGCCTGCCATCAGTCTTACTGGCTGCATGACTATGCATATACTCAGTAGATATCTTATGCATGTATGCCTAGCAGTTTGTATGTTCTTCATCTAGTTGTGGGGATTTTCTGCAGTTACACCACAGTGCAAATCCCTTTTGCTACGTTAACAGAAATCTATGCAAACTGGCCCCAACATGCATGTGTATGTCTGTGTCACAAAATGCCTATAGTAGTAACATTAGCCTGACAACTCCATCAGACTACTTTACATTGAATAAACATTCTTTGTAAAGCACTGTATTAACCTTACATAGACAAGGACAGGACTCATCAGTGATGTAGGCATCAGGACGCGCAGGGGAGGCAGGTGAGGCGGAGCCTCACCTACTATTATGGAGGAAAAAGTTTCAAGTCTGAAGCCGACAGCTTTTTCTCTATTCAGAGAGGCTTGTAACAGGTTACACAGCAGGGTAAGCCTCCCCGCTGTGTAAACGGTCATGGATGGAGCGCTGCCTGGTAATTACAGCTAAGTTAGGTTACACAGCAGAGGGCTTCCTCACTACTTTGCCCAATCATGTGAGCAGCCCGCTGAATGCCCTGGCAGTTCGTGTGTTCGCGAGACAAACAAACTAGCGATGTTAGCTACATTAGCTTCAGCAATATTTACATTTATGACATATGAACAAAACTAAATTACACATGAAGGGCCCATTTGTTGTTGCTGTCTCCAGCCTTGAAACCAATCTCCTCTGGCCAGCAGCATAAGATGTTCTAATGCTATATGCTGAAATACTGCTGCTATTAGAGAGATGATTCATTACCAGTAGGGATGTCCCGATACCGATGCTAGTATCGGAATCGGGCCCGATACAGGGCATTTTGACAAGTACTTGTACTTGTCAAAATGCCCAGATACAAAGCGCCGAAGCTTGCTCTATGTTTTTTTTTTAATCCTGAAAAAGTGGAATCGGGACATCCCTAATTACCAGGCTTTTGAGAATATGAATGTTGCTGTCCTGCCAGTCCAGGCTCACTAGTGAATACACATGCTGTATTATATAGTTGCAGTAAAGACAGAACTATGTCATACATTTTCTTCAAAGAACATTCATTACACAGAGACAGTAATTCCTACCCAATTCGATCTTGCTCCAGCTCTTCCATCTTTGCAGCCCTTGCTATAACTCTGTTAATAATTTCCTTCTCTTCATCTGTAAGGTCTTCATGTTTTCTTTGGTCACCTTGGTATGTTGGGTGCACAGACCATCCAGCATCAAGTCTACAAGTAACAAAAGTGTGTTTAAAATGAACGAACCCACAACACATTTAAGATGTTATTTGTAAGGCAGCTGCACACAGAAAGCCAATGCACCACATTAGATCAACTCACTGCATGATTGTTAATATACATTTGAGGATGGACTCAGCTGACCATGAACCCAGTGACAATGAAAATCTACTCCCAGTAGTCTTGGAGACCATTGTTTAAGGACCGAATTAAACATCTTCCACATGTTAAGCATCTATCACAAAATGTAATATCCAGGGAGGTAAAATGAACACCGATATGGTGAACTCATGTTTGTGGTTAGAAGTACCTGGTTCTAAACCTGCACTAAAGCAAATACAAGTTCCTATTGTTGAATGTCTTCAGGTATGCAGATTATAAAGTCAAAGCAAAGTAAAAAACCTCATATCTGCATATTTCTTCTGGTTCAGTCATTCCATACATTTTGAAGGCACTGGATTAGCATGATGATCGAGGAAAAGCAGAAACACTGATATTTAAATGCACAAGGTCACATTAGCATGCCAGCCCAATGGTTGCCTCATGGCTTCAGCTTGTCTTCTGCCATGCATGGCCTGTCACCAGTGAAACAGCTAGATGAGCTCTGTTTTCTGCACCCTGGGATGCACTCTCCTGTTGCCAATGTACCCATGCAATGCTCCACCCCCTGTAGCTCTGGTCCGGGTTGCATATTTATAAGAGGCACAGTGTTATCCAGCACAAGTGTAACAGACTGATGACACGTTACAAGCAACTGTTGGAGATCACGCCCATTATAGTCCCTTTACAGGCAGTGCCCCCTACAGCATCTAAAAAAAATAATGGTACTACATTTGTTTTTTCTCTCAGTAAGACCCATTATACAAAATCTGAAAAATACTTTAAAGGAGAACTATGGGGTCAGGGTTTTTCCCCATAGTTCTCCTAAGGGTCACGGGAGAACACAAACTAGCATTCTCCCTTGACCCAAAGCTCAGTATCCCGCGAGCTACAGCTCGCGGTATACTGAGACGCCGCAGCCGTGGGGGGATCCCCGACACAGCTGGCTCTGCCTATCTAGAGGCAGAGCCAGCTGTGCCCGCCCCCTCCCCCATCCGTTCCGCCAGTCAGCGCTGGACGATCGGACTGGGGAGGGGGGAATCCTTGCACGGAGCCATGAGTGACAGTCACCGCTCTCTGCAGGGATAGATCGAGAAGTGAGCGAGCGACGGTATGTGTTCGCTCACTTCCCAATCTACTGAGCCGACCTGTGACAGTTTCATTGTCACAGGTTGGCTCAGATTATGAGGCTGAGTGAAAATCACTCGCCTCATAATTCTCCTTTAACAAATAAAGATTAAAAAATGTAAAAGTGTAAGCAATAAACTAAACCCATAGTTTGTAGTAACCAGTATTATGAATATTTTCCTTCACTGTCCCAAGGTAAGCATCTTGGCCAAACAATGACTAGTGGCTGCTGGGGCACAGTAAGCATTAAAAGGTCACAGGCTGGGTACCGAAAGCCTAAGCATATATATATATTTATATATGTATATATCACACACACAGATGGCTATAAATTATCCTTATATAAAAAAAAAAAAATGTGCTACCTTCCATTAAATAAAAGGTATAGAAATGTTTTTTTCAGGCTGACCTGTAACATTAGTTTGCCCTCAGCATCTATTATTTCCACTTTCTAAATACGATTTACAAGTATGAACATGGTTGTTGACATTTAAAAATGGGAACTAAAGCAGCCTGTGCAACAGTGCAAGTCTTATCTCATGTATGCATTTAGATATAATAAGTTCAGTTACAATAATCTTCCGGTCTATTACTACTATTTGATCCAGTCCATTCTGACGTTTATTGTTCTATCAATATACATGTCCAAAAGCACAAAGCAATTATAAGCAACCAAGAACACTATTGATTCTGGAAAGTACAATACTAGGAGCAGACAGTCAAGAACAAAATAGCATCCGTGTTAAATTATAGCTCGAAAAAAAGATATGGGATATTTGGCATGCAAAAAAAGTAATGCTTTCTAAACATTTATTCTAAATGTTTATCATATTATAATGCCATTTTCTTCCAAAGGCAAACAACTTACAATAGCATTCAAGCTATAGAACCTATAGCGCTCTGGCTCTAAGCGTTACAGGTCTCATAGTTCCCAGCATTACAGTCCCAACTACACTCCCCTCTCTGGAAACAGAGTCTTGGGCTGTGTATATTATGAATGGAGAGAAGGGGGAAAGTGGAGATGCGAATGTAGCGTTAGGGTCTAGCCCATGCCACTCTGCCTGCAGCCCCCCATGTGACCCAAAGAGATGTCGCCTATGGCAACAACCTTAGGCTGTCTCATTAAAGGAAGGATCCTGGGTCTAGCGCTTATAACCGGACTGGCCAGAAAGTACAGGAAGGTGAAGGTCCTCTGGCATATAAACTAAATGATCTGCAGGACATAGAACTATGCCTGCATGACAGCAAGTTCCTCCCAAGGTAGGAGAATATTTGCCTGCTTAAAACCGGAGAAGGTAATCCTGCTAGGAACTAGGCTTTATGAGTGAGTTATTTAAACTCTAGGTCATTATTTTATCTTATGACAATTTTATACTAAACAAGTTTCATTCGGAAACATAAATGTCATTTTAAAAAATGTGTGTAATTGATATCATGCATAATGTAGGCATTTTACTCAAAACTATTTGTTTTCAGCCACAATGGCTGTTTTTTCTGCTCTTCTCAATAAAAACCTAATTGGAACCCAGTTACCTCAAGCCAGATTCCAGCTGTATTTTAAAGAGTAACAACCTGTGTGATAGGGTTTATAAATGTACTTTTATGGTTAAAAGTCCTATAAAAAATCATATTAAAAAATACACGAAAAAGTGTGCCTTGTAGCTTAACCACAATGTTCTGAGAGGTAACTATCATCTCACTGCATGAGTTAAAAACTACTTGGAAAAGTCACATGGATTCCTGAAGATGATTTTTAATGGGATTTTGTATACAGATACTCCTCGCTTAACTACTTACCTGTTTTGCGACTACTCGCACTTACGACCGTCCTCCGAGCGACCTCCGACCTCGCGCGTCAGCGCCAGTGCGACGTGACGTCCTCCGTTCTTCACAGCGCGTCCCCGTGAGTATTTTCATTGCCCGATGTACAGTACACTGTTCAGTACTGTACATCGGCAACGCTATACAGTACTGTACTAATGCAGTACAGTACTGTATAGAGTTCCTCACTTAACGACCAATTCGTTTAACGACCTGGTCGTAGGAACGGAACTCGGTCGTTAACTGAGGAATACCTGTATACAGTATTGGAATACATCTGGAAATTGCTTTGTTTTCTATAATGTATTGATTCAATGGATTATTCATCTAGAGTATAAAGAAAAATCTTCCTTACTTACTCCTGAGGAAGGGGACAGTTGGTGCATGAAAGGTGTAGAGCAGTGATGGCGAACTTGGCACTCCAGCTGTTTTGGAACTACAAGTCCCATGAGTCATTGCAAGGCTCTGACAGCCACAGACATAACTCCCAGAGGCAGATGGATGTTGGGATATGTAGTTTTGGCACAGCTGGAGTGCCAAGGTTCGCCACCACTGGTGTAGAGGCTCAAATCCTCACCATGTGATATGATTTACATTAACAATATTCAGGACACAATATAGATTATTGTAATGTAATAGAAACATATTGTTCACATCATTTGCATTGTTTTCTTTGTGAGCCTGTTGGGAATTATATGTACAAAATACTGATCTAAGTGAATGTTTTTAACATTTTGCTTAGCTGGTTTTAAGACTTTCTATGAAATAAAAATACATTTAAAGTGACTTATGTTCTATACTGGGTACCCATTTTTTGGCCTCCTTCCATCTTGCTATATATAATCACATTACCTACTTCCTCCATTCCCTCCCCCACTTGGTACACATGGTACTGCAATACTGTAGTGCAGTATAAAAAAATTGGTACCAGTAGGGCGCCATATACATGAATGTTGATTGGTGTAGGTTATAATAGTCCATTATAATATCTTTGCAGGCTGATCTCTACTATTTATATGGATTTAATACTCTATTAATGATATACACATTTGGGCATTCTGTAAACAATCACTGCCTACATTTTTAATATACAGGGCCTTGCGTGAGGTACAATGGCGTAATCAGGGTTACGGTTGCCCGGGGCAGAACAAAATTTTGCGCCCCCCACTCAATTGACCCCAACGAGCGGCCGCATAGTTTGCCCGCTTAATTGTTTTTTGGCACTATTTGCAGGGCCGTCTTTAATATAAATGATTTAGTTATTATTTTTTAATAATAATTATTAGTGATTTATTATTAAATGTTATTAGTTATTTAATTGATTCTTAAATATTGATTATTTCATTATTAAATATTATTATTTCATTAATTATTAAGCAAAATATTATTATTTAATTAATTATTAAGCATTACTAATTATTTCATTAAATGTTTAATTTTTCTGCTGTCCTGATCCAGATATCTTCATGCTTGCAGTTAGGGAGCTGGCATGGTTTTTACTCCAGTGCACATTTCTACAGGCATCCACTTTTTTACCAAAATTACTAATTCTGGCCGTCTGCAGAGCAGCCCTCTTTAGGCCTTGTTCACACCAAATGCGGTGTGTTCCAGAGCAGCAGCTGCTGGAATGCACCGCAATCCCTCACAAAACTTCCCCTTGCGTTCTGGGGCATGGTGGTGCATTGAATTCAATGGCACTGCTTCCACGCCCCACCGCCCCCAGTGCGAACGGACATGTGACAAAACTTTGCCTGCGTTCCATTGCACTGCAAACGCAAAAAATGCTGCTTGCTCTATTTTTTGCGCTTGCAGTGGAACGGAACGCAGGCAAAGTGTTGCCATGCGTCAGATTGCACTGGGGGGCGCGTGGAAGCGGTGCCATTGAATTCAATGCACCAACCATGCCCCCTTCCGCCCCAGAACGCAGGGGGAAGTTTTGTGAG